TTTTTTTTTAAAGGTTACTTTATACTTTTATACTTTAAGTAGTTTTTGAAGCACATAGTTTTTCACTTTTACTTGAGTAAAGAGGTCAAGTTGATTCTTCAACTTTTACCAAATGTTTTTAAACTGCAGGATCTATACTGCAGTTTAGATTAGTTAAACTATAACTAATTTCCGCTTTCCTTTCATTTTGCTTTTTGGCCCAAAGGGGTAAAAAGTTTAGACGCATCAACCAACCAGGATTCAGAGAAATTCTGGTACAGAAGCTGCATCCTCCAGTTTAATCCTGACAGACGCTCAGTCTTTCTAAACCCTGCAGACGGTTAAACTCTGACTCACATTGGCTGCTGGGATGTTTCCTTCCACTCTGCTGAGACCCGTACAGACCTGCAGACCAAACAGAAATACTGATTTATTAACAATCCAAAAAAACAACCAGTGAACAAATAACTGACCCCCATCAGATTATCCTCAACTATTGTTATAAAGCAATTTAAACATGAATAACATTTAAGTCAAGTCTGAGGAATGCTGCTCATTAGCTGGCATGTGAGGAAAAGGCGAAGCAGCAGAAACAGGATAGCAAAGGCTGAATAGTGGAGACACACGGAGCAAGCCGCCTCAGGAGCGTCTGCAGCAGAGAGGAAAGTTCAGCTGAGCAGGGAGGCTAGAGAGACGCAGTCTGTGCAACAGCTGCTGCTCCCCTCAGGATCACAGCTGCCTTTTTCTGTCCTGATTTACTCAGCAGCCTCTTTGAAAGGCGGGAGGAAAAAAAGCCTTTTTTCAGACCTGTTTGTCCAACAGTCAGTGAAACGCCGTAAAATGGGTTTTACTGGAAGTTTCTCCAGATTAGCATCAGGTGTTGAAGGGAAGGGAGGTGTTCAGGTACAGTGCTGTGTGTCTGAGCAGAGACGACCCAGACGGGCGTCCATGTTGGCGACCAGGGGCATAAACGACACCGTGTTCTATCGATTTGATTGGCGGGGGATACAATGCTTTTCTTTTTGTTACTTATATTTATTGAACTTTTAAAAGAGAATATTTACTGCATTAACCCAACATTAGCACTCAGATAAATACTTAAATCAACATCTCCAGCCAATAGTGTTATTGGAATCCAGGCAGAGACCTTATTACCTTTGGAACGTTCAACAAACATGGATGTTTTGATGTCTGTTAGGACTCCAGTCTGTGAGGTCTTTGTTTTTCGTGTGTTTGTCTCCCTTCCTTCACCAGACGGCGCCTGGTTCTGATTCTCCTCCTCACGCACCTGCAAGGGGTTTCCTCATTAACGGAGTGTTCTTAAAGGAATAGTACACCCAAAACATGATTAGCCTTCATTTTCTACTCACCCCCATGCTGAACAACACTCTGGAGTACTTTTTTGA